ATGGGGTACCCCAAAAAGAGTGGAGTTTATTTATTCAAAATTATGTATTTATTCTTACAAATTTAAACTTCAGTCACCTTCAAAGCACTGTTTGATACAATACACCTATTGAGACACTTTTCCCACTGCTCAAAACAGTCTTTGAACTCGTCAATTTTGATGCCTTTTAGAGCTTCTGCCATTTTTTGTTTCACCTCCTCCACATCAGCAAAACGTTTCCCTTTATGGACTATTTTCATCCAGGGAAACAAAACCAACAAAGTCATTCTGGGCAAGATCGGGTGCATAGGGAGGGTGGGGCATGGAGGGGTCCTGTCTTTTTTTGGTTAAAAACTGCTGAACACTCAGTGCTATGCGGGCAGGTGTTCTCATGAATCACCTATCACGAAATGGGCAAATGTGTTGAATCTAGGGGAAAAAAAATTAACTGAAGCCAAATGCAAACTCAGTACACTGATGCTGACGGGTTCCTAGAAGACTTACCTAGCAGGGTAAGCCTGTACTACAAGGGGTCCGCCCTCCAAAAAAAAAAAAAAAAGACAAATTTTGTTTTTTTGGAGACAGTCCCCCTCATATAGTTAAGAAATAATTTACTGGAAAGCAAAAGGCACGCTCAAGGAACGTGTGGGTGCCTTTAGAGAAAGGGCATGTGCTTGCCTTTGAGAAGAAGCTTTATACGATTTTACAGTAATTACTAAGCAAATCATGAGCTAAGAGGAGTGGGCTGCAGGTATCTGGTCATGAGTTTTGATTACCATCTCTCAACTTTCTAAGGTCAGAAAGATCTTCTAAATAATGAAAGTGATTGCCTAACTAGACTTGTGCTTTTCTTTTTAGAACATCATGTCTGTGTTTTGAGTAACTCCCTATGTTTCTGTGATTTACAATACTAATAGATACATATTCCAGCCTACAAAGCAGTCAGGTCTGGTATGCTTGGTCTGTCAGGTGAAGGTCCTATACCAGTAAGAAATATGTCTGAATGCTTACCCTATTTTAAGCAGGTTTGAAGACCTGCCTGAAAGAAACTTATCTAAACTGCGCCAACTAACCTGCCTCAATACAAACATATGGAATTGAATATATTAAAACTTTTTTTTTTTTTTTAGTTGGAGTCTCACTCCGTCACCCAGGCTAGAGTGCAGTTCAGTAGCATGCTCATCGTCATCCCAACATTGACCCACTAGGCTCCGGTGATCCTTCCACCTCAGCCTTCCAAATAGCCAGAACTACAGGCGCGCACTACCATGCCTAGCTAATTTTTTATTTATTATAGAGACTAGGTCTTGCCAAGTTGCCCGGGCTGATCTCGAACCCATGGGCTCAGGCAGTCCACTCGCCTCAGCCTCCCAAAGTGTTGGGATTACAGGCTGAGCCACTGAGCCCAGCCTAATTTTATATTTAATATAAAAACATAAATTAACAAATGGAATTCTTTTATAATTAAATTTTTCTTTGTTCTGCTTTGGCTTTGAAATCAGAAACCTGATTTTTTTAAAAATTCAGGTTTTGTATCTCTAGTTGATAAAAAATATTAAGCCACCCTTCCATGCTACCCAGAGAGGAGTCCATATGGTGTTGTTCTGGATTCTTGCCATAATTTAAAGGGAAACATTCAGCCGGGCTCAGTGACTCAGCCTGTAATCCCACACTTTGGGAGGCTGAGGTAAGTGGACTGCCTGAGCCCGCAGGTTCAAGACCCATCTGGGCAACTTGGCAAGACCTCATCTCTACAATAAATCAAAAAATTAGCCGGGCATGGTAGTGCACACCTGTAGTTCCAGCTACTTGGAAGGCTGAGGTGGAAGGATCGCCGGAACCCAGCAGGTCGAGGCTGTGGTGGCCGGGAGTGGCCACTGCACTCCAGTCTGGGTGACAGAGTGAGACTTCAACTCAAAATAAAACAAAATAAAATAAAGGGAAACATTCACACTGTCCAGAGTCCTTGATATCCTGACAATGAAGAATGAAGATGTCCTCAAGACCCTTGCAGCAGGAACCCACTTAGGTAGCACCAACCAAATGGAATACACATTTACAAGAGGAAAAGTGATGGCATCTACATCGTAAATCTGAAGAGGTCTTAGGGGAAACTCCTGCTGGCAGCTCATGCCATTGTTGCCATTGAAAACCCTGCTGATGTCAGTGTTATATTCTCCAGAACCACTGGCCAGTGTTTCTTGCAGTGGACTGTGATGAAGTTTTCTGCTGCCACTGGAGTCATTTCTATTGCTAGCACTTCACTCCTGAAACCTTCATGAACCAGATCCAAGCATCCTTCTGGGAGCTGCCTCTTCTGGTGGTTTCTGATAGCAGGCTGACCACCAGCCTCTCACAGAGACATCTGATGTTAACCTACCTACTATTGCTCTCCTCTGTGCTACATGGACATTGCCATCCCATGCAACAAGGGAGCTCACTCAGTGGATTTGATGTGGGGGATGCTGGCTCAGGAAGCTCTGCATGTGTGGTACCATCACCTATGAACACCTGTGTGAGGTTATGCCTGTACTCTACTTCCAGAGATCCTGAAGAGATTGAAAAGGAAGAGTAGGGGGGTTGAAAAAGCTGTGACCAAGGAGGAATTTCAGAGTGAATGGACTGCTCCAGTTCCTGAGTTCACTGCTACTCAGCCTGAGGTTGCAAACTGGTCGGTTTGAAGGCATGCAGGTGCCCACTGCCTATTCAGCAGTTCCCTACTGAAGACTCAACTTGACACTGAAGACTGGTCTGCAGCTCGCACTGTTCAGGCCACTGACTAGGTAAAAACAACCATTGAGTGGTCTTAAGCGGTTCTTCCACAGGCTCTTAAGCAAGACAGAAATAAGGCTGGCGAAAAACAATCCGTTTCGTATGTTGTAACCGAGTTGCGAGAAAATAGATTGCCTGCACAGCAAAAGATTAAATTATGAGCTTTTTATTAGTCAGCGGTTGAGAGAGGGGTTTATATTATCAAAATTTCTCAACCCTGAGTGAAATTTTTAGGGGGTCTTTTATAGGCAAACTGAGGAATTACAGAGATAGTACATCTGGTTTTGGATTAGGCAAGGGTAGGCAGGGGTACAACTCAGATGACAGCAAGCACTGAGAGGGTACAGGGCTGTGGGGTTGATTATACGCAAACTCTAAAAATGTTGCATCAGCCACACGGGTTTAATCAAACAAAATGGAGTTCTATAACAAAATGAAATTTTAACAATTTTGAAACTAAAATCATTAATATTAAACCTCAAACATTTTGAACACTGCAAACACATCAAACACTTCACACACACACACACACACACACACACACACACACACACACACACACACATATGGCCATTGTTTAGGGTCAATACTTTTTTCACGTTTTGACTATTCTTTTGTGTGTTGTCTTTTCTAATGTATTTAGAATGCACAGTCTTGAGACTGGCAACTAGGAAAATTCTGGTTATACGTTGGGTGAGGAGGAGGTTTCGAGTCAAAAAAAACTCACCAGACCTCTGTCTTTCATAATATGGGCCCCGGTAGTGAGTTACCTCCACCACGATCACAAGTGCTTAGAGAAAGACCTCTCCAAAACTTACCGATGTCTATGTTGGTTTTGATTATCGTCTCCCACGCCCAACCCTACTCTGCGCTTTCCCATCCTCGAGTTCAACCTCTAGCAATCAGGAACTGGGTGGTCACGCTACTTCTGTGGGGGTCGAGACTTCGGTGGGCGCTCTTGCCGAGGTGGGTAAACTCCGACACAGCAGCTACGTTTTGGGGGTAATTTGTAGTTCCATCACTTAAAACCACATATTGTCCACTCATAATTTAACAGAGGTAGGAGGGCAGGAAAGGGCAAAGACGCTCCCACGGTCCGCAAACTCGGCCGCTCCTGAGGCCGAAGGCGTCTCCGGAAGAGCTGGCTACTCTCCCGCTAACCCCTCCCTTCCGCTCCGCCCAGCCCGTGCGCAGGCCCTCGAGGTCACGTGGCCTCCCGGGAAGGTGTGGGGGGAGTGGGTGGCCCAGCGGCCGCCATCTTGCGGGCTTGGAGGCGGGGCGTGCCGAGCTCGGGGCGCGCGCTTCGCCTCCCCTCCCCTCGCCCA